CCACTCACCTCAGCCTCCCAAAGGCGCGGGATTACAGGCTGAGCCACCGAGCCCGGTTGAAGTGAACCAAGTTAATGATTTATTCCAAATACAGTATATGATCAAGTTCTTTTTAAAGGGTAGGCATCCATTTAGTTAAATAGATGGTTACCTTGAAAATGGCCATTTTTCACTAATTATAAAGCTAATATATGCTCAGGGCTAACACTTTGGAAACACAACAAAATACTATGGGTGCCCAAAAAAAGTATACATATTTTAAGAGATATTATCTATGTATTACTTTTAGTTCACCTTAATTAGAAGTGTCTGGACACTGATGATAACCACTTTGAGCACCTCATAATTGCAGAGGTCAAAAATGACTTGAATTCATCTACATTTTAATACAGTTTTTTCCTTTCTTAAAACGTGTATACAATATTTTGGCACTCTCTGTATAAAAGTATGGGGGAGGGGCACCAAATCCCTTGTAATTCTATTACCTAAGATATCCATTGCTAACATTATGGCTTCTCACCTTTCAGTATTTTTTTCTACTGCTGATAAATGAAATTTCAAAACACTGACTCACTGTATAATCCATCTTATAGCTTGTTGTTTTCACATAACAATATATTATAAACAATATTCAGTGGGTAGTCTTTTAACATTACCCTTTTGAAACATTTCGTAGTAATTTCATATTCAGAGTAAACATAACAGCAAACAACAGTCAATAGTCAAGGCTGTACCTACCTCCTTGGGGCTGAGAATCTGTCGTATGCAAAGTAAAAGATGAAGACCGTACACGCTTTCTTGAAAAACCACTACAGTCTACAATAAAAGCAATAGAAAGGATACAGTTGCTTGCAATAACAAATTATCCTCCACCCATGATAAGCAGATATTCCTTTTGTCTACCTAGATCACATTACCTCCTGAAGCACAATTTTAAACATTGGGGTTAATCATTTGATGATTATAAACTTACAGGCATGTCATACTAGCATAAAACAGAGTGGTTTCAGCAAAAAATTTTATATGCATTCTGAGGTTCTACAGAGAATGTTTATGAAAGTCTAAGGGACAGGAAGTAGAGAAGTAATGCATTTTATTCACTAACATCAGTGTTCTCAAGGACCTATATGCCATCTTTTAAAACAAAGCCAATCTACTCACATGTTTAAAAACAAGAAAAACCATTAAGTTTTACATAGTCTGTGCCACATGCCAACATATGCGTGCCTGCTAATTTTCTTTGTATAAAGATTGATTTTGGAATATGGGATGTAAGTCATTACCAAGTTCTGCTGTTTTATACAGGGTGTCTTCTGCAGGTCTCTGAAAGGGGGGAAAAAAAGCTGTTGATAAGAACCAAGTATTTGCCATTTTTATATCAGATTTCCACCCTGCCAATGCATAAAAGACTTCTCAGAAGACTGGGATATTGATCCCAGCCAGGACAAAGCAGCTCAGCTTTATTCACTAATCATGTAGTCAAGAAAAAGCACAAGTCTAGTCTTGCAGTTTTACATTTCAGTGACAGAGTCACTTGTGTGTGTTTAAAATGCATATTTAGAGGTGCCTAGTCTCAAGATTCTGAAGTGCTTGGTCTGGGATGAGGCTCAGGAATCTGCCTCTTTTTATTTATTTATTTATTTATTTATTTATTTATTTATTTATTTATTTATTTTGGCCAGTACCATATTAGCAGTACTTTTTTTTTTTTTTTTTTTAAGATTCAAGGTTACATATGCATGTTCATTACATGGACATATTGTGTAATGGTGGAATTGGGTCTCAGGTGGCCCATTCCCCAGATAGTGCACATTGTTTATAGCCCTTAGGTAATTTCTGAACCCTGGGCCTCCTCCCCACCTTCCCCATTATTGGTTCCCCCTATGTCTATTATTTCCATCTTTGTGACTATTTAGCTCCCATATATGAGTCACAACATGTGGTGTTTGGTTTTCTGTTTCTTTTTTTTTTTTTTTTTTTTAGTTGGAATCTCACTCTGTCGCCCAGACTGGAGTGCAGTGGCCACTCCCGGCCACCGCAGCCTCAACCTGCTGGGCTCCGGCTATCCTTCAGCCTCAGCCTTCCCAGTAGCTGGAACTACAGGCGCGCGCTACCACGCCCGGCTCATTTTTGGTTTATTGTAGAGATGAGGTCTTGCCAAGTTGCTCAGGCGGGTCTTGAACCCGCGGGCTCAGGCAATCCACTCACCTCAGCCTCCCAAAGGCGCGGGATTACAGGCTGAGCCATCCAGCCCGGCTGGTTTTCTGTGTCTAAGTCAGTTCACTTAGGATGATAATCTCCAACTTCACCCATGTTGCTGCAAAGAATATGATTTTATTCTTTTTATGACTATGTAGTATTCCATGGTGTACATATACCACATTTTCTTTATCCAGTCAATTGTTGGTGGTCATTTAGGTTGGTTCCAGGATTTTGCTATTGTGAATAGTGCTGCAATAAGCATACGAGTATAGGTATAGTTTTTATATATTGATTTCTTTTCCTTTGGGCAGGTCTCTAGTAGTGGTATTGCTGGGTCAAATGGTAATGCTCAATATCACTAATTATCAGAGAAATGCAAATTAAAACCTCAATAAGTGGTTTTACATTCCTCATACCAGTCAGAATGCTATTATTAGAAAGTCAAACAATAGATGTTGGCAGGGTTGTGAAGAAATGGGAACGCTCATTCACTGTTGGTGGGATTGTAAACTAGTCCAATCTCCATGGAAAACATATGAAGATTACTCAAACAAATCTGCTTTTTTAATAAGGGCTTGGAGGTTGAGCTTTTCTTTAGTTGTTTTGTAGACAGTAGGGTAAGTTACCTGAATGAGTAAGAATTAACACCAAGAAAATAATAATAAGCTGAAGTGAAAATGTTACTAATATTATTGTTTGTCTTTCAAAGCAGATGAGTTTAGTATGATGCTGAAAAAGCAGATATTGGATTTTTAAAATCAAGTGTCATAGTTCAGAATTTATTTTATACCAAATTTTAGGCAAAGTCAGTGGTGGGGACCCATGAGGAGCCTTGTCCCTCCTAATCTCTTTCAGTCCCTCCCCTTTTCAAGTTACTCCAAATAAACGTATTACTATAGTAAAATAGCATGTTATACATAGCTTCAACATAAGGCCTCTGGCTTTCAATTTCAGCCAAATTGATGTCTGTAAATCTTGACTGTATAAATATTCTAGAGGAACAGATAACGAATAACAGGATAAATCCATGAGGCACTGATATCTTTTAAGATAGCTAGCTTCTTAAAATATTTTTTTTGTCAATTTAAAATTAAACAAAGAACAGTATTTTTGATCTTACCTTAAAAGTTTGTTCTCCCTTTTCAAAAACAAATATTGGTTGAGCAATGACAGATTTTTCTGTTAAAAAAAAGGCAAGAAATCAAAGCACACTTTGACATTTCTCACACCAACTAAAAATATCTGAAGAATTATTTTTGTTTTTTATTTTATCTGCCTTTGGTTAAATCCTGGCTAAGTACTTAAAACAGCTATTTTACATAGTTTCTATAAATTGCATGTCTATAAATAACGTAAAAGTTTTAAAAAAAACAGGTTAATTTCAGAAATAAATACTTGGGGAAAGTGATAGTAGTATGTTTTAATAGATAATTCCACTAAAAGAATATGCTTTAAGTGTTGAAGGAAAACAAAATATAATTATCCACCTTTAGAATCTCATTAGAACATGGTGATTAAAGTTTCAATGAGTGAAAAAAATCTCATCTGAGAATAGTACTCTACTTGGGTTGGATCTAATGGTGTAGATGTACTTCATTACATCCTTAAAATAATTCAGCAACAATTCATATTTCCTTCACTAGAGTAATCACAATATTTTCAATATTTAGATTCAAAATTAATCTTCACAGTGTTGTAAAGTAGGTAAAGTTTGTTTTCAGCTCTGCCAGTCTTATGAATCTTTTATAGTTTTCTATCATAGGTGAGACAATGGAGAGAAACTCATTCACGCTAGGCTATTCATGAACAATAACAACTTTAAATATCTGCTCTCCAGAATGCTTAAGAAATGTTATATAGCTGTTAAGAGCTTTGGACTCTGGAGTTAAATAGGGATGTGTTCAAATCCAAGTTCCACCACTAACTGGCTGAGTACTTTGGGAAACCTAATGTGCCTGCAACTTAGTTTGTCATCTCAAAAAAATATATATATATTGTAAAAATACTTACCTCATAGAGTTTGTGAAGATTAAATGAGACATATATAATTACTTAGATTTCAACGAGACAAAAAAGAAGGCTTAAAGAAAGAATATTAAATATTTGGCATTCCACCAATCCTTATTCTAAAACTTATAGCTATCATTGTTAAGTGACCATAACATGTTCTTGATAAGACCAAATAAGACCTTAGAACTCTTCTCATTATAGCAACATCACCAATATATTGTTTTGGCATGCACTGAGGTAATTGGCCATCCCTGAGCTGAATAAATAAAGCTCTAGTAGAGGAATTTTGAGGAACTACCAGAGAATTATATCCTTTAGATGCCAGAAAGTGATTTGATTCCCATTTCCCCAAAATCTTATTCCACAAGAGAATATCATAAACTATGCAAGAACACCTTTTGTGAATCTCCTGGAGTCAAGGGAATTTGGGTACCTTCCTCCAATCCAGTAAGATAAACTGTTTAGTTTTTATGCAAGTGCTTGCCATGCTGTCTTCTCTTGGAGCCAAATGATCCCCAACAGAAAATGTTCACTAACACTGGCACACACATTCATATGAAACCATAGTTCAATTCTTTGTTCCTTCTCAAAATGAGCTACTTATCCAGCAGTTATGTTAAATTTAAGCAATGAGATTCCCAGAGATTTTGAAAAGACATAGTTATTGTGAATGTGTCATAGTTCATTTATTAATCAGAATAATAAATGGAGCTCTTCTAAACTGGACTTAGGACCATTATCCTTAAACTAGCATGACTTGACCTAAGCCAAGACAAATAACATGTTTATTTTTCCTCCATTAAAACATATAGCTAGCCGGGCTTGGTGGCTCAGCCTGTAATCCCGCGCCTTTGCCTGAGCCCGTGGGTTCGAGACCCGCCTGGACAGCGAGACCTCATCTCTACAATAAAAAAAAAAAAAAAAAAAAAAAAATCAGCCGGGCATGGTAGCGCATGCCTGTAATTCCGGCTACCTGGAAGGGTGAGGCGGAAGGATCGCCGGAGCCCAGCAGGTCGAGGCTGCGGTGGCCGGGAGCGGCCTCTGTACTCCAATCTGGGCAACTGAGTGAGACTCCAACTCAAAAATAAAAATTAAAAATTAAAAAATAAAATAAAACATATAGCTAAAAACATGCGAAAGTGATCTTCAACAACAGCATTAAAGAGGAAATCACTGACCGGGCTCGGTGGCTCAGCCTGTAAAAATACGCTTTGGGAGGCCGAAGTGAGTGAAATGCCTGAGCCCACGGGTTCGAGACCCGCCTGGGCAACTTGGCAAGTCCTCATCTCTACAGTACAACAAAAAAATTAGCCAGGCGTGGTAGCGCGTGCCTGTAGTTCCTGCTACTCGGAAGGTTGAGGCGGAAGGATCGCCGGAGCCCAGCAGGTCGAGGCTGCAGTGGCTGGGAGTGGCCACTGCACTCCAATCTGGGCGACAGAGTGAGACTCCAACTCAAAAAAAAAAAAAAAAGAGGAATTCACAAAGGCACTTGCAGCTTAGAAGGCACATTTATTTATTAACTCAACAAATATTTACTGAGCATCTTTTTCTGAGCCAGCACTATGCTGGGAGCTAGGAATACACGGCCCAACTGAAGGTGTATTAGTGCCAGTGCAACCACCTTCTCTCCTTGACGCTGCCCAACACTTAGTTAGAAGACAGATTATCTTCAAATGTCCTCTTCCACCTATGCTCTCTCCTCTCTTCCCAAGCAATTCTCTTGAATCCAAAGAAAAAGTCAAAAGCAAGCATCTGAGGTGGGAGGATCACTTGAGCTCAGGAGTTTGAGACCAGCCTAGACAACATATAAGACCTCATTTCTACAAAAAAATAAAAATTACAAAAATTAGCTGGGTGTGTGGCGTGTGCCTGTAGTACCAGCTACTCGGGAGGCTGAGGGGAGAAGGATCGCCAGAGACCAGAAGGTCAATGCTGTGGTAGCCATGAGCGTGCCACTGAACTTTAGCATGGGTGAAAGAGTGAGACCCCGATTCAAATAAAAGAATTGTAATCACTTAAGTGCTAAAAGGCATCTTTTTATATTTATGTATATATTTTTTCTTTTTTGGTCCATCAATTCTCTCTGATCATGCAGCAGCACCAGAGTCTCTCTCATCCTATTCTGGTTCAGGTCTGCCAGATTCATGAATCTTTTGCTTAAGTAAACTGTTAAATTTAATTCACCTAAAGGGTTTTATTTTAACATTGATAAAACAGTAAAGAAAACAGATGTAGTACCTGCCCTCATAGAGCTTGCATTGGGGAGTGGGAACCAAACTAAACAGTTAATTACTCAATTATTTAAGTTCAGTTGGGGTAAAGGTTACAAAAGGGAAGTACTACGTTCTCAGAAAGTGACCAACAGGAGAACTTGTCTGGTTTCTGGGGTCACAGTTAAGATTCCTAGGAGAGGTGATATTTAGGCAGACTTGGAGGAGGAGGAAGAATTAGCCAGGCACAACTGGGCAGAAGGGCATTCCAAGCAGAGGGAGAAGCAAGAAGAAAGCCTCTGAGGAAGCCTGAAACTTGGCAAATTCGAATAATGAAAGGAGCCAGGGTGGCTGATACCCTAAGAGGGCTTTCAAGGCCTCAGTTTCTGCCAAGGCGGGTCTGTTTTTACTCCAGGAACAATGGGAAATCAATGAGGGGTTTTAAGCAGGGGAGTAATTTGCTTTGATATGCATTTTTTATTAAAGATCACTCTGCCTGCTGTGAGGAAAATAGAAGGGGAAGGGGCTGAGGGAGAAGTAAGGAATCAAATTAAGAGACTAGCCTAGGCCCAGCATGATTACACGCCTGTGATCCCAGCACTTTGGGAGGCAAAGGCGAGAAGATTGCCTGACCAGGGGTTTCAGACCAACCTGGGCAACTTGGCAAGACCTCATCTCTACAACAAATTAAAAAATTAGCTGGGCATGGTGCCATGCACCTGGGGTTCCAGCTACTTAGAAGGGTGAGGCAGGATTGCCCAAGCCCAGCAGGTTGAGGGTGTGTGGCCATGAACAGAGTGAGACTCCTACTCAAAAAAAAAAAAAAAGTTAACCTAAGTTCTAGAAGAGAACTGATGAGGCTATTCTGTATTTCTTTGTTTAAAATCATGCATCTATGACTATTTTTAAAAGGAGAATTGAATAATTAAAAGTTTAAAATACAGTCTTCTGTCACAAAGAATGAAAAAAATGAAGAAATGGGAAATAAATACTTTAAAACTTAAAGATGAATTTTTATGTCAGCAAAGTTTGGTGGCTCACACCTATAAATCACAGCACTTTGGGAGGCTGAGGCAGGAGGATCACTTGAGACCAGGAGTTCAAAATCAGCTTGGACAACAAAGTGAGATTCCATCTCTATAAAAAAGAGAAAAATTAGTCAGGTGTGGTGGTACATGCCTATTGTCCCAGCTACTTGAGAGACTGAGGTATAAAGATCACTTAAGCCTGCGAGTTTGAGGCTGTGGTGAACTGAGATCATGTCACTGCACTCCAGTTTGGCTGACAGAGTGAAAACTTGTCTCAAAAAAAAAAATTTTTTTTTAATGTTTTGCCTGTTTTAAGATTCATATAGCATTTAATAAATCCCTACATTCATTGTTGTTTTTCGAAATGCTTCATCAAGAGAAGACATTCATTCATCCCACAAATATTTTATTGAGTACCTATTATAAGAAAGGACATGAAGTACTACCTGTATGATTCCATCTTTGTTCACCTGTTACACAATGGAGGTACACTATGGTTTACATGCTTCTATTCATCATCTGATCTAACTTAATTCTTGTAATCATTTTGTGGGTTAAATATGGTTTGTACCACTTACAGATGAGAAAAACAAGGCTTAGTTTAGTGACTCCCTCAAACACACGCCAAAGCCTTTCATTAAATGGTGTGGGAGGCCTTCTGCCTCCCAAACCATTGATCTCAACTCCCACACATTAGACTGACATATATCCTATATGGCTCTATTGGCACAGATCATGTTCCAATTGTATAATAGACATAATCCAGCCCCTTGGCAAGGAAAAATCAGTTACAATAATGGGACTTCCAAATTTGTCAATGTTTATTGACCATATAAATGAACTTCTCCCTCCTGAGATCAGAAATCAGACATTTATAAAGAATTTTTTTGGTGAGGGGGGAGAAAAAGCTACCACAAAGACAAGACAAACT